TAGCAAACTGTAGCCTGAAGAAAAAAATAACCTGAAAGCTAAATTTAACTGTTAATCTAACCGCCATATTGGATCGGAAGTATACTTTCTTACAATTTATATTATGTGTATCATACCTAGCATACTATATAAATTCTAAAGTGTTCGCTTGATCTTTCAAAGATACTATGTGATTGAACTGCAAATAACTGCCTTTATCATACCATTTTTGTGGTGTAGGCAGGAAAAAAAGGGTGGCGGGGGGGGGGTCTTTGATCCTGAGGATTAACGGCCACATGGTTAGTTCTGTCGCCACGGCTATTCAGGTGAGGATTCTATTTTGCCCCAGACAGAAAATAAATATCACCACCCTTACTGAGGATTCGAACCCGGGTCTCCGGCCTGAGAGCTTAGTGGTCTAACTATTCGGACAATTGCTTCTCCTATGTGTTGAATATATTTTACAAACTATAATATATTCCTTTTACAAATTGTGCAAGGTTTATGCTATACATTATGTAATATATATGTTCTACACAATATGTGAGGCCTGTTTCATATATTTTATAGTTTGTGTGGTTGTGTGTGTGGCTGTGTGTGTGTGTGCGCGCGCGCGCTCGCACGTGCTCGGTCAATTTACCAATTTGTCCCAAAACTATTTTACAAGAGGTACTAGATTCGTTTATCTACACTACTGGACTTGTATTGCAGCATCTTCTCTATTCGACAAATTGTTCCAGATATGTTCCGCAAGATATGCTAAATCTGTTCTACATACGGTACAAGGTCTAATTTAAAAACCTAACTTGATCTACTCCACAGTCTCGGCTGGATTTCTTCGACAGTAGATATAATTTCTATTTCCCAGCACCATGTGATATCTTATGTAGATAATTATGGCTAGATTCGACAGTCCTAAAAAGATAATGCTATCCAAACTGTTTGACATCCAGATTACATGTTACAGTAAATACTTTCCAGTAATCTGTATTTGATCGGAGATATGATAAATGATGGATCTTTACAACAATGTAGGCTATACTGATATCTTTATAACCTTTTTATATATATATATATATATATATATATATATATATATATATATATATATATAGGTGTGTGTGTGTGTGTACATGTTTGTGTGCTTATGCGTGTGTTCGATTTACGCAACACTCAGGGAGCACGAACGAACGAACACACTTTATTTTCAAAGGGTTACACATTGGGCACGCAGGCCCGTCTGACATTCGGCCCTTCTAAGCACTCATTTTTCTGAGTACCAATGCCTGTTATCAATAATGCATGTTATGGATGTAATAAAGAAATATACATTATGGAATAATGCATAAACACATCATGTGTACACAATCTTACACACTCAACCACACACACGTAAACATACTCTTACATTCTCATACATGCACACTCATACATAGATATATGTAATACATATACCCGCATCTACATACATACACAAACATAAAACACACACATATATACATAGACATACATGCACAACATAAAACACACATACATACATAGACATACATGCACACACACATTCCATACATACACACCTACACATGCATACATGCATACACACACATACAATCACATATACAGACACCAACAACCACACATATATACTCACATACATAAATATACCCATATACACGCATACATACAGACATACACACATATACATGCATACACTCACATCTTTACACACATAGTGCAAACTTGCATACATACCTAAATGCACACACATACAAACATATACTTACACGGCTACATATCCATACATACATCCACCAAAATGCATACATACACACATAGATACATACATAAATGCATGCACACATACACCCACATACATTACACACACATGCATGCATACACACATATACAATCACTCATACAGATACCCACATACATACATACATACATACATACATACACACATGCATACCTGCATACATACATACTTGCATACATTATATACACCCACACCCACAATCACACATACACAAGAGAGTGTGAGTGAGACTGAGAGAAAGTTAGCGAGTGAGTGAGTTTGTGAGTAAGTGAGTGGGTGAGAAAAAAGCAGACAGAGAGAATGGGGGGAGCGTGGGCGCGAGAGTGGGGGAGGGAGAGAGAGAGAGACACATCCAGAGAGAGAGAGAAACATAGTCGAAACGATGGATTGAGAGAAGATAAAACTGGATTTGAAACTGGATTTGTCAGCAATATGTTTTATCAAAGTAATGTTTATCCGTTTTGAATGTGAACAATTAAATCACAAATACAGCCAGGTGTAGAGACATATAGCATATATCTGTTATTTGTGTCTTCTTTGCTCGGATATGTTTATGTGAATATTTTATTCTACTATATGTATTTGATGTAGTTTGCAAGTTGAATTAAATGTGTTTTGTGATCTGAAAACGATCTTTCATGAACTGCATAATGCTGTAGATCTATCTTACAGTCAGAAATAAGTCTGCTTTACAATTTTTAGCTATTTTAAAGCCCAAAAACAATAATTCTCCATAGAGATTCGACCCAGATATGGACTTTTAATGGCGCTTGCAAATCTCCGGTTTTCCAATGCTAATATATTTGGCTTACGTTTGACAATTATCAAAGCGTTTATTTTATCTCCAAGACAAATATTTAGCTGTCGTCTGCATGGATAACAAATCGTTTTTTAAATATCTCTCATATGCTTTGTTTTCCGCCCTATATATACGAGTGCATATGAATAATACCCGCTTTCATCTGTTAAGAAAAACAAGTGTCTGCACTCAACACAAAGTGTCTAAACGGTTGCAGGTACTACCATGAAGTGTCAATTACAGTAGTGCTTTAAGAGAATTAAACTAATGTGCTTCTTACTGCTAGACAAAAGTCCGGTTAATAAGTTATAGTTAACATTGGGGTATGAAACTTAAAGCGTATTGTTGTTTATAAATTATTCCGACACTATCAGGCTATTTTTAAAGCTCTGGAGCAACTGAAATAAGAAAATTGCTATGAGAAATGTTTCTAAGAAATAACAGAATTAGTGCGGTTGCTTATACGTTTCACTCCCACAAGAGTGGCCTAGCGTCGCTGCCGGCGCAAAATTTTGAGTTAAAAATCGACCCAAAGTATTTCAGGGTCCTCGCTGGTGCAACGGAATCCGTCCACTGCGCTGAGATTCTTCAAAAACTCAAGTTTCAGTTAGAAGTAGAGCGAAGCACTTATGGGTTGCCCCTCGTGCCATGATGTTGATCGGTCGAGTAAACATAAATTTAAACTCTCATAAGAAATATACAAGAGGGAAAAGTCTACAGCTGAAGCAAGCGGCAGACATCGAAATAATGACATCTACGGTTCAATGAAGCTGTCACGACACGCTGCTTTCCTTAGATTTGTGCATACAATAAGACAGGATCATAAACGTCTGTTTGCATAAGTAAAACATGCAGTTTATATGAAGGGTAGTTCATTTTGCATTGCATGTAAAAGGATTTATTTATTTGCCTAATTTTTACTCAACAGTTATTGTGGTATACACATGACTAGATTTAAAGTAATTTGCCACACAAATTATTATTCTTTCTAGCGTTCGTTTACCGGCTTTAAACTTCAGTGGGAAGTTTTGTTTGTTCGTTCACTTCCAAACGTTGATCTTGTTTGATATCTTGAGCTGGCTTGCGCGTCTGTTTTACACATCTGAGTTAATTGATATGCATACTGTTGGTTCCTCGTTTCACAGGCCGATACATCTGACTTCACAGGAAAAGTAGGAAACACTCATAATTAGTTGCCGTTTACGATGAGGTTGTTTATGAATGGATGGATTGGGGGGTGGGTGTGGGGGGGGGGGGGGGGTTAAGGGGACATGTCTATCTACCGCTTTCCTCCAGACTGAGGCTCTAGGACTCGCGCAGGAAGTCAGACAATATATTTTACAGTCTGTCGTCGTGTATCTCTACTTTGTTCAGATTGTGTGTGTATACATACATACATAAATACATATATATATATATATATATATATACACACACACACACACACACACACACACACATATATATATATATATATATATATATATATATATATATATATATATATATATATATATATATATATATATATATATATTATATATATATATATATATATATATATATATATATATATATATATATATATATATAAAGTGCCACCATTCGGATGAGAATCATCTGGTCGCAAGTCCCAGAAATCCCGTTTAACCGTTAGATTATATAAGGGCCCCCGACGACAGCAAGGGTGGGGCTTTACAAATTGCGGATTTGTTGCAAATTCCCTTGATGAAAAAATTGAGTTATCAGAGTTTCTTCCCGTTTTTAAAGTACAATGGGGAATGTTGTTTTACGTTTATTGAAATACCATTTCTTATAGATGCTTTGTTTATGCGAGTTGCTCAACACTAAACATACTTCTTTGTAAAGTATAACAATTAATTTTTTAACCTCCGATAACACAGGGTAATTGTATAAGATGTTCTTTAATTTTAAAGTAAGCCAAAGAACTCTGCGCTGGCTGCTGCAGATGGGGACTAAGCACACTGAACATATATTGCTAGACCTTTATTTGTATAATTCAATCGGCACTCAGTTGTTGTGTAGTTAATTTAAACCCGACTGCCTTTTACTTTACAGATCTTTACCAGGACTTATCGTATAGTGGTGGAATGAGGGGGGGGGGGGGTGTGGCATAATTTTTAAAACTCTATATGCGCATGGTACATAACATTCTTTGCTCATATATCTACAGACCAACTGGCACTTAATAAATATTGTAATTATTTTGTATAATGACATTAATCCCTGTTCTGTTAATTTTCAGATCAATGACCCCGTAGACACTACCTGTGGTGTCAATATCAATTAAGGCAAAGTGGAACGTTCATCGCTAAGAACCCATATTGACGTGGCTTGTCATATTATTTCCAGTGTCATTAAACTGTACACACTTATCAAAAGAAAATGAGCACGTCCACAGATAGAATGACGTTACAACCACACGTTGGCAGCATGGAAACAACTAAATTCATCCTCCCTGACAACGGGACACAGGATCAAGTCGTCCGTATTCCATGGATCATGAGCCTTTTCATCTTCTTCTATTCCCTCATCTTCCTCCTGGGTCTTACAGGCAACTGTCTAGTAGCGTTCGTGGTAATGAGAAACAAAGCCATGCAGACAATCACCAACATTTTCATCACGAATTTGGCCATCTCGGACATTTTAATGTGCTTGCTTGCTGTTCCTTTTACGCCAATTTCCTACTTCCTCAACTCATGGATCTTCGGCAAAGTTCTATGTCATATAGTCCCTATGATTCTGTGTATATCTGTCTACGTCTCCACACTGACCTCGACGGCTATTGCTGTCGACAGATATTTCGTCATCGTCTATCCCTTCAAGCCGCGAATGAAAGTCTACATGTGTGTGCTCATGATCTTCGCTGTATGGGTCATCTCGGTGTCCATCTCTCTACCACTGGGAATCTACCATGAGGTAGAAAATACCAATAATTCCTACATGTGTTCGGAGAAATGGCCCAAACCTCAAGCTCGGCAGTTCTTCACAGTAACCAGCCTTGTGCTTCAGTACATTGTGCCTTGCAGCATCATCACGTTCTGCTACACCATGGTATCCATGGCACTGAAGAAACGCTCTAAAGTCAAGATTGGCACCGGAGTCAGAACTAGGGAAAGGGAGGAAATGGAAATCAAGAGAAAGAAGCGGACTAACAATATGTTGATTGCTATGGTAAGAAACATTTTGTAACGTAATTTTAAAGTACTATATTCACGAAAATTGTTTAATTGACTCTTTCTGATGAGGGCAGTCATTTCTGTGAAATAATTATAGTCTGATTCAGGACTAATAAGCCAGACTTAAGCAGCTTTTCAACATAGCAACCTCATCGTGTGGGTTACGGAGCCCTATTTTAAGGAAAACAAGAATCGATCCACTGCCTACACAAAAGCATATTTAAGAATCAGCTAATTTGGGAGGTTTCTTCGAAGTCGGATTGCATCTGCCTAAGAAGCAAGGAACCAGCAGTCTGCATACAAATGAATCAGATCTGTAAACGGATGTACACGCAACACTCAGGTTCTGGAACTCGACTGAAGTCCAAAAGTTGATGAACATCCAGAACTTTCCGCCAGACCTTACAGCTGGTGAACACGAAGAAGAAGAATATAACAACCAGGATAGGATGGTGAAGATATGGGAATGAAAGGTCAGGAAAAAATAGACTCGGACATAACATTAATTCACACAAACTCGGAAGGGACTAAAAGTGGTCTGGGACTGAAGTAAACAGGGAACCGCCGTGGTGTAGCTGCTAGACTCTCGCATGTGGATCTGAAGATCGTTGGTTCAGGTCCTGAAGGAGCCAGACTTTTTTTTTTTTTTAAATAACTTCGGTTCCCGGATTGAACAGGCCTGTTTAACATTTAGTCCTAGCCTTATATGCCGAAAACGCTTAAAAGCCTAGGAAAGGGTCCTTTACTTTACTTACTAGAGTAAAGTAACTAAGGTAATATAAACAATAATGCAGTCTAACAACGAAGACATGGCGAGTGATTATCTGGGATCGAAGAGGGTGAATAACTAGGATTTGAGGGCATTAACATCCAATCACGTAATACTTATGACGCCGCAGGTAAATGTCTAGGACTGAAGAAGTTAAAGTTCTATAAATATAAACTAGCATCATTATTGTGTAGCAGGTTCCTTGCAGAATGTCGCTGCCATTACAGCTCACTCACAAGAAAAGAAATTCGTTTCCTATGTGGCTTAGGTGTTGCGAACGGGCTTCGTAATGTCGGGGTGTCGGGTTCAATCCCTGCTGTAGACGATTAGTCGTGCGTTGGTTTCGACAGTGGTACCCAGAGCTGACAGTTCAGCAAGCAATGGAAAACGAACGTAACATTTGCCTAGTAAAACCACAACAGCAAAAAATTGTAGAGGTTGGTTCTGCGACGTTCTGTAAAAGAATACGAAACTTTAACCTAGCTTACCAGCCCAATAAACATTCTGATTATTAAAATGGATATCCGCCATTAATGTTCATCTGACTCGAGACAAATTTCCAACAGTGTTCCGTGACTGATCCCATAAACATTTATTTAGAATAAAATCTATCAAAGGGTGGTAAATGTTTTGAACTGAAGGAAATAAAGTAATATCTATCCAGTTGTGGGTGAGCCCTCTTGATCACTCACGACTAGTATTTTTATACCAAGATTATTTTTCTTCTTTTAGTTTGTCTGAGTGACATAATTACATGCCCTAATAACCCCACCCCCAGAAAGATAGACTTTTAAAGGGATTTGCTATCTACGTTAATGGCTCTTAAACATACCAAGATAAATTGTAGAAATGACATCACAGAGCAGAATGTATTGGCTACAACTTTACAAACAAGAGGATGCTTAGTACTAATTAATGTGGGTACCAGCGCATGTGTGAATTGTAGGTAATAAAAGAGCAGATAGAGAAGCAACTAAAGGCCTAACAAAAAATAATAAAATAATACAGCTCTGAGTAAGGGTGATATTAAATCGATGGTTAGTTCGACGTAGTCTCCCCAAATAGAGTAGGTCACTTTTCATTTTAGGTTGGGCTGGGTCCACTTGCCTGAAGGTTACGGGTATGTCTCGCTCTGTTGTTTGGTTTCTGCGATGTCTTGAATTTATGTTTCCAGCCTGAGAAAGAGAATGCCTGTGACATTGGTTGCAGCACTCTCTAAGGTGTCGTGTTAGACCCAGTTTCTCCAAATATTTGGAGTGTTAAAGTGCTAGCGTGCTGAAATATACAACACGTGATATCAACAGCATTGCAGAACCCTCCCGTAACCGTGTGCGAATTCACTGGACTCAGGAACTACCAATCAGAAGTGAGCTAGGGTGTGTATGGATGGGTCTGGGGAGAGTAACGTCGAAGTAACCTGAATCGATAATTAAAAAAAAAAAAAATTACAGAAGAATGGACAGGGATTGGGGGGAGGGGGGTGTGGGAGGGGGTGGGGGGGGGAGGTGAGGCATCATAGGGAAGGCATGCATACACATTTTTTAAGGCTCCGAAAAAAAAGGTCAAATAAGTGAGCTAAAAACACTTAGCAATAAGAAATGCCTGAGACTGCAACTTGCCGTGCTTTACTTCACTATAGCAGTAGACCCCTGTTCTGTATGTTAGTATATAATGATACTAGGGCTGTACCGAATATTCGCTTCGTATTCGCTTCGGGTGATGCTGACCACATCACCCATCTTGTGCCGTTGGTCTATAAAAATATAGGTCTAGCCCTATATGCCATATACGCCTTAAGGCGTGGAAAGGGTCCTTTACTTTACTTTTTACTTATTCGCTTCGGGCCGAAAAGTGGACCTATTCACTATTCGGTATTCGGCCGAATAGTTGCGGTCGGGCCGAATAGCAGTTACCTCACACCCGCTTCTGCATACACGGGCTTAATGCTGACAACATGGAACTATTGGTTTTGTTGAAAGCTAATGCAGCTTTCCTGCATTAACTAAGCTGACAGTGACAATTTCCAAGTTTAGTTACTTGTTATAGTACTTAGGATTCTTTCAAGCCTAGTTACCACAGACTCACTGAAGGATGCAGATTGTGAAGATAAGGCCAGCCATAGAAATAAATGGAGACGAGTGATATCTGCAGCAGTAAACCTCATAGGCTCAGAATGCTAAAGATAAGATGACTATTCTGTGCTACTTTATGTGAAGTAAAAGTTCAGCGTACATTTGACATTATGAATGGGGATTTTTTAAAGATATATTTTATACACTATACACTATTCGTATTCGTATTCGGTTGAATAGTGAAAATCACTATTCGGTACAGCCCTAAATGATACTGAGCATAATTTACTTTACTGCAAGAAATATGAACTCCAAAAAAACTCCTCATAATGAATATAGGATTGGCTGCAATAAGCATATGATAACTGAAAACTTGCTGGGAAAAGATGGTTCTAGAGAATTCGAGGGAACGAGTATACAATATAGAAAAAGAGCAGGGATTCGCATATGAGATGTTAAGAATATCTTAAGACTAAATAACAGTATCCTAGATCTCTTTAAATATCAGCAAAGACAGACTACACAGTAGAATTACTATAATTGTTTGAAGTACACTAAAAATGAATTCAATGTGATAATCTATACTTTTACAAACTAATACAATTATTACATAAGCTATCAATATTTCATAAACAAACATAATTGGCAGACAAATGTATTCATTATTGAAGAGGGAAACTATACTCTGTGTATCACATTAATACCCTATGGGTTAAACGGGCCACTGTTTAAATTACTACAACTTGCCCACGTTGGAAGAAGACAAGGGGACTGCGTGGTCTCGAGGCTCAATGTCAACCTCCAGTGCTAGAGGTTCCGGGTTTAATCCCCGTTAAGGGCTGGGATTTTTTCTTTGGTCGTTTTACCAAGAGGGTGTGAGCGGAGTACGCCATGACAGTTAGACAGTTGGAGGTGATGACAGGCACAGAGGTGCCGGACAGTTTGACATCATGGCATGCAGGATCTTCTTTGTCAGAACTGACCGAAAGTAAACGAGGCTGTGAATAAGCATGACTGATAACGTCACATGACATAAGTCTAAGTCTAAACCTAAGTCTAAGAAAAATCTAATTACAAAGAAAACTGACCCTCCAGAAAGAAACATCAAAGTAAATATGACAAATCCCAAGCAAGATGATATGTTAAAGTACTTGGGTACCCTGGTAACAACAGATGGAAGATGCATTAAGGAAGGTAAATGTAGAATAGCTCAAGCAAATGCAGCATTTTACTAAATGAAGAATATTTTAAGCAGTCTTTCTTTGTCAATTGAGACGAGAAAGCAAATTCATAAAACCTATATAATTTCAATACTGATATACGGATGTGAATCATAGACAGTAAATGAGTGATTACTTATTTGGAAGCTGCGATGGTGTGGTTGTATGGAAGAATTATGAGAATACCCTTGGCAGATAAAAATAGAAATAATGAAGTCTCCAAATAAACTGACTCACGAAGAGAACCTCTCCACATCAGAAAGAGACAATCTACATTTTTGATCATGTGATGAGAAGGAGAAAACTGGGGTACATCGTGACTAGGAAAGTTGGAGGGGAGGAGAGGCAGAGGGGGACCCGAGAACAGAAGCTGGGTGGTTTGACATCATTGCATGGAATATTATCTGTGTAAGAGTTGATTGAAAGTATACGAGCCAGAAGGTTGTGGACAGAGATGACTACCAACGCCACACAGCATGGTCTCTAATAATAATAATAAGAAGATAAAAGTCTATAAGAAGAATAATGTGGTCACTACAATACAAACAAAACAGTGACGTGCAACAGGTTATGTTGCAGGCCGCTTTGTCTGTCAGAAAAAGAAAATCCCAAGTCACAGATATGAGTTAGTCTGCTTTAGATGCTACATTAGGTTCTAGAAATTAAATGCTAAAAAAAATTGTATTTCTTTCTGTCCTAGCCGAAGTCCTCCGAGAAATATTTCTTGTATGTTCCTTAGCTGAGGATATAAACACGTTGAAAAACTCTAATCTATGGGACTAGTTTTTGGTCTTTACACGTATAAATCATTGTTGCTATCCCTGATTCTGGTCCAAAACGTCATAAAATCTGACTATAGTTTTCCTTAAAATTTTCCTTTACTGTTTCTTGCAGAACACCTTCATAAATATTAGCCTTAAAAAAAAATAATAAC